AATTTTTTCTAAATTTATCACAAATTATGGAATAATTTAGATAAAGTTTCAATAATAATAATTAATATTTATTTTCAATCAAAAAAAGAGAAAAAACTAAATAATTTAATAAAATTTTTAGAATTAAATACTAATTACCCAATGATGATATTTTTAAAAATTTCAAATTGTAAATTTCCTAAGAAATCTTTATGTAAGAAATTTTTCTAAATTTGTCTCAAATTGTGAAATAATTTAGATGGAATTTCAATAAAAGTAATTGTATTCTTTTTCAAATAAAAAACTTTTAATTAAAAATATTTGACAATTATCCAATGATAAGATTTTAAAAATTTCAAATGGTAAATTTCTAAAGAAATCTCTATGTGAGAAATTTCTTTAAATTTGTCCTAAATTGTGAAAAAATTTAAATCGAACTTCAAAAAATAATTGTCATATTATTTTCTTTCCAAAGATAAAAAAATTTAAAAAATATTTAAATAGACTCACATGATGAAAAATTTAGAATAAAACTTGTAAAATAAAAATAAATTCTAAAAATGAAATTCTTAATAATCGCAAATGGTTTATTATCTAGGAAATTTTTAGATGAAAAGATGTTTTTAATTTTGGTTCAAATGGTGGATGAATTAGATATATTTTAAATAAAAAAAAAATAAAAATAAACTTTTTTTCTACAAGATGAGGTAAGGAAATATTTTTAAGAATTCTACCAAATTGATGAAGAATTTTAAAAGTTATTTTCAATATTCAATATTAAAATTTAAAACTAATAGAATCAAAATCTTAGGATAATTTAAAATAAAATGATATCGACCTTTGGATGGGCATATAGGATTACTATAATTTTTTCCATATATAACCAAACTCCGAAATCCTATTTTAATTAGTAGACTAGAACTTATTTATTTACGGACCCTTAGTCAAACTTAGGAACTCCTTAAAAGGATAAATTTATTAGGTAACCAATCACGCTTAAATAAAAGATTAGTGGTGACTTTTCTTGTTAAATCTAGCTATATATTTTCAGATCTATATGTTATGACACCACTAATTTTCTCCTTTTAGTAGCATTTATTTTTAAAAAATCCATTATTTTCTTTCCAATAGAGGCGTTTATTACCTAAAATGTCACTAAATATTTCCTAAACTTTGCGTTTTTAGTCTAGATCCAATATATAATGGCATTTTTTTTTATGAAAAATACCATTAAAATTATATTTTTATTTAATTAATTTTGATATTTTATTTTGTAAAACACAAACATAATAATTAGAATCAGTCATCTGCAAAAACAAGTTAATAACATAAACAACAATTACCCTTAAAAAGGCCCCCAATGTTTAGCACGCCTAACCCCTCATTCTTTCCCACACCCCTTGTAGGCTTAACACCCTTGTAACTCTCTACCCATTATACCTTTAGTGCAAGCACTGCCTTAGGTTTTGACTCTATGATTTCAATTGGACCCTCTTAGTGGGCTTTAAACTTTATGGCCTTCACAACTACTCTTTTCATTGTAAAAACAATAATAGAAGTACAACAAAATAGCATAAATTAGACAACACAACAATACCACAATATCATAATTCACTTAAAGGAGCATCATATTGTATAATAAGAAAACTGAACACTTAAATCTTTTACCTTGGGAAGCCACCTCTTTCTTGTCCTTAGCTACTCTACCTTTCCTGCCCATTTCCATAAACACTCATTAGATAGCAACAGCCAAGTCTTGGTCCTCATCAATGATCAAACAGTAGTCACTGATATTCTTTCATGTGACCATTTCATATTGGGAAATTCTAGCATCCTTCAAGGCATTGACTTGCTTAACTTCATCGTCTCCAAGATCAGGGACTCCATGGTTAATGGGTTGGCATATAACCATCTGATCTTGGAAGGAAACCTCATGCTTGGCATCTTGGCACATGCCACCACATACTGATCGTAGTAGGATGACTGTTTAAGGGAAGCTCCACTATACAAGATTTCCCTCGCACATGGAGGTAGTAAAGTCACCTATTAATTTCCCTCAAGTAGTAGAGTGCCAAGATAACATTCACCATAGGCACCCATCATTACAATTTACAGTAGATTAGATAAGTGATCAAAATGGCCCACACACTTGACACCACCTGTGATGCTATGATATTAAAGGTGGCTAACACCAGATGCAGGAACAAATGTAGAGGAAGGTGGAACCCATGCTTGAATTTGCACAAGCAAAAACCTGTCATGCCTTCGAAGTTCCTTACTTGGCTTATGGTGAAACCAAGAGGCAACTGTGATATTTTGTACATAGAATCATTAGGGTTGAATGCCACATAATCCAGAATAAGATCCAACATCACCTTAGTTGCATGGGAAGGATACACGTCTAGTGGCTATGTCTCTGAAGCCAAATCCTTAGGCTCTTCTACCATCATCTCCTTGTCTTTGCCTTTTTTCCCTTTCTTTTTTGCAAGTGTTGGGGCAATTACGTAAGCCAAATGGCCTTTTTGCAAAAAATTTGAAGAACATAGGAAAGATGGCACAAAAACACTCAAGCAAGAAAATTTTATTTTGAAAACAAGTAGCAAAAGTGAAGACTAAAATTTCTTAAGTGTTCTATTTATACACAACCAAATATCTTGAGTGAAATGGTATCAATATAAGTCATTTCAAGCATTAAACGACACCTTTGAAACGGCATTAGTTTAAACCATTTCAATTGATCATGAATGGTCCAAATTAATTCTACTAAAAACTCGACCCTTCGGTTACCCTCTTTCAAAATAACACACTTATTCTCCTTAAAAAATCAATTTAGTTTTAAATTTTTACATCTATTAAATACGATTAAACATTACCCAATCCCTCTATACCACATTTTTTAACTAGTCGTACCAGTTAGAAATGTTGGCACGTGCCTCGCACTGCCCTAATGGATGCACTCCACCCATGTGCATCTAACATAAAGCACTAAATTTACCTCAAAATTTTCTTAAGTCCCCACCTATTTATTCCTTGTACCTTAACCAATAACCCAACTCACCAAAGGCATCCTCCTCACCTTAACGGGACACATCACCAAAAGCTGCTCGCCAAGCTCAGGTTGCCTTCTCACCAAAATTCATCTCTTTGGACTTTGGACAACAACCTAAAGGCAATCACTTTATAATCCCCTCTGACCTAGGGAAAATTGTTACACTCATTTATGTAAGACAACAAGATCAACTCTTGATCAACATGGTCAACTCATTAGAGCACCAAGACAATGCATGATCAGTTGCCACATCATTTCTATTTAAGGAACTGGTTTGCCCTCTGCCAAGAAAAAGGCTCACCCAACATTCCATTGACATTTCATCAAAACATCACTTTAAAACTGAATATTTGACCTCTAACTTGCCTGAAAATATTAAATGTAACACACACTTATTTAGGATAATTAAATATAGCTCACAATAATCTATATAAACCTTTCTCGAACTTTACATTTACTTTTTATCAATTGTTAATTATCTCAATCAAATCATCACATTTTATCTTATATATGAAATAAAAAAAGAACCTAAGTACATAAGACACAAGATCCAAACTTCCCCTCCATTGAAATTTCCTGCGCATACCATCGTCAGGAAGAAAAACATTTGCTAACGTGTCTTGTAGTTTCACTGATTTGACACTCGTTAAAAATAAATTTTAATAAAAATTTATTATATATTATCCAAGTCATTAATTTTTGAATATTTAGACGGTTGGAAGTAAGACAAAATAAAATTACTTAGGGAAGTTTGCTTTAACTCCTTTCTAAGTATAACGTGTAGATGAAGAATTGACAGCTTATTCTGCCTGGCAACAGCTCTGTCATTGTTTACCTGCCCTCAATTAAATACCAGGTAAACAACTTGTCGTTACTGCAATGCAAGTACCCTATAAATCTGTTGCTTCTTAATTTGTTGAATTATTGCTAATCCCATACTACTAGTTTTGTACGTATGGTGAGAAGTTAAGGGGCAGATTCATCTCCTTGTCAATCCAGCTAAATGAATAAAATTTCTGGCTGTATATGTTTCATAGATGTGATGGATAAAACTTCCCTGCTTGACTCGTACGTTCTAATTAGAACTTGAAAAGTACTAAAACATTCTTGTTTTCTGTTGAGAAATAACTAATTGTAGGGACTTTGAAAACATCCATATAAACATTAATTAATTTACAAAATTAATTCAAATGATTTATATAATTATTTTTAAAAAATAATATTTAATAAATTTGAGATTTAAGTATCAGCATTTACAACATTTTGTCTTACCCCATGCTGTAACCTTTATCTACTAAAAAAATATTAATATTAACACATTACTATACTTTCTTCATTGACTTTCTTTTTTTAAAATAATTTTTATTCTTTTTTTATATTAGTTAAGAATAGTTGAATTGAATTCTTACAAAATTTTAAGGTTGCAATTGAAAATTTAGATTTACAAGAAAAGATTTTGATTTCAAATTTAGTGTGAATTATTGTATGATTATGCATACATAAATATAACCTTCATAATTATTTTTTGTTGGATGTCTATTTAATGATGAATTTGAAATGAATGTGTTTATAATTTAAAATTTATCTTTTGCATTTTAAACATATAATATTACTAAATCTTAACTAATTTATGTATGTATACATTTCATTCTCATAATTCAAATAGCAAATGGAATTTAAATCTCTTTCTTAATTTATTTTTTTAAAAGTAAAAGTGGGATTTTTTTACATAATTGACGAAAGACGCATAACATATTTTATATTATTTTTCTAAAATTTATAATTTACTCTTAAACTTTTATTTTTCTATTTATTAGAGAACATGATTAATGAATTACTCATATCATACCTTATATATAATTTTTAGTTCTTAATTTACCTTTAAATTTTTTATCTTATTATTTATCTGTTGAAAATGACATTAGGCTTATAAATTTTTCAAACTCGCAACTCTTAATTACCAATTGACCTAAGAATCACTCGGAAACATACCCTATATTGTTAAAAGGAAAAATAAAACTGTTGAAAACGTTTGCTTATGATATACACATGACTTGTTCCCGAAGAGAGGTTATGCTTGTTTCGCCAGGTTTACTTGAAAGATTTCCATTCCTAACCGAATCAAATAATCCCCATACGTCCATTGTTTTGAGAGGTGAGAATTGAGAATTTATCCAATTCCAAGCAAGTGGCTATGCTAATCACAAGATACGCAATCACCTAGCTACAACCCCCACCAAAACAAAAAAAAATAATAGTAACAAATATTGCTACTCATGAATTAAGCAGGACAAATGAACATTTACAGAGGTGCCCTTCCACCCCCTACAATTTTTCACATTTATTCAAGTCTTATTATTTCTAAATAAGCGCGTAATCAGTCACATTGAATCGGCAACCGATTCTTCCGAGACGATGACGGCGTCAACATCCCACCATGTGTCCACGTCAGATTCCGTTAAGTTCCTTGACGACGAGCTCACCTTCCTCATATCACCTATCGTCAACTTCCCCATGACGTCATCCCTGATGTAAACCTTCTCTACGCCGCCGGCATTGACCGCTGCAATTTTCTCCACAGAATTTTTGGGTCTCCATTCTGCTAGAATAGCCGGTAACCTACAATGAAGGCGCGTGTCCCATGCGCTGACAGCGACTTGTCGAGATGACGAGTCAGCGCCAGCGGATACGATAACTGCGGGCGACGAGGAGGGTGCTGAAACTGCCTGAAAATCGCTCTTTCCGCCAAAAATTGACATGATGTTTGTTCCTTTGTTAATGTCGTACACGTTCAAAACTTTGTCGCTTTCATCGAGGTCCAAACCGAGCCCTAACCCTAGGTTGTCCCATAGCTTCACAACGCTTTTTCCGGTGGTTAGCTCCTCAGCCCAAGAAAACAAATCCCCGACGCTACTTCTTCTCTTTCGAAGGGTGAAATTACTGTTTTGCCACTGGTCGTCGATAAGATGACCCGAGCCTCTAACTCGAAAATCCTCATCAACTTGTCGCCAGTTCTGAGAAGTCGACGGCTTCTCATATTCCCGTTTGTCGTCCGATGACGAGCAGGAAGAATCTGTATCAGTGTCGATATCTGTGTCATAAAGAAGAGTTTGGGATGGTAAAGAATGGTGTCGCCGGAATCTGATGATCAAAATCTTAAGTCTATTGATTATGGTAGATAATGAGGCTACTAGGACAAGAATCAGAGCTCCCCACTTCCAAAAACTACAGGCTTCGTAGATTTTCTCAATCCCGGAAAGCACATAAACTTGGGAAAGGAAAGATGGGTTGTTTAGAGAGCTTATGCCCGCTTCAAAGTCGCTTATTCTGTTGATAACCGGAATTTCCATGGCCTCTATCCAAATTAACACTCCCTTATCTTCGATCCCAATCTATCTAAAGGATTAAAAGAAAAAAAAAAAAGAAAAGATGTTGAATGCTTAAGAGTACCAAGAGTTTTGGAGAGTACAAAAAGAGACAAGTGAGGTTTGTGAAGGAGGTTAGTGTGGGGTTTTAAAGGCGGGAGTGGGAAATGCATTCATAATATCAAGAGAGATAGTGATTGACATGGCAGATAACAATTGCCTATGTGGTTGACATTATTCGTGCCACGTCAGAAAAGGTCGGAAGCTTTTTGGGAACGAGAAACAGATTGGGATTGGATGGAATATGGATGAGTCAGCAACGTAGAGGTCAAAACCGTATTGTTTCAGTTAAACAATGGAGGTTTTTTTTCCTAAGTTTTAGTAAAAGGTTCACCAGCTGATCAACAAAGAACAAGAGTTTTTTATTTTATGGTCTCTGAAATTTGGTCTGTTGGACGCGGTGGTGGTGAGTGAATAGAGAAACAAAATAACGGGTGAATTTGTGGTGGCCAGATCGAAGACCGTTATTTCACCACTTAGATATCGACACGTGGTGACAGCTCATTTGATTTAAAATTTTTTTTCCAGAGCTTGTCGTTTACTGGCTCAATGATTTGATGTTTTTTTTGGAAGGTCATAATCTTGGTGCGTGGTCCCCGTCTTGCACCATCGCGAGGTGCTTGATAGAGTGACGGAAGTTGGCGGTGGAAGGAAGTTAGAGCTGAAGGGGCGCGTAAGTGAGATGGATACGTAGGCACTTCCGATGATTTGCAGTGGTCCAAGTCATGGATGGACTTTGGTGGGAACAAATTATTACACGCATGCAATTGCTTGGGTTTTGGAGTTATGATTCACGTGCTGCACAAGTTATCTTCCCGAGTTGTTTCTCATTTCAAACTTGCTGGTGTGAAATCATGGTGTAAGTCGTAACAAAACGTCTCAGACTTTCAAAAGCTCTATCTCAAGCTAATCTAAATTCTAAGTCTATTCAACTGTTGATTAACGATATGTGTAAAATGCATTTGGATAAAAAAGACTTTTTTTATGAAGTTCGAAAAAGAGGAAAAAAAATAATAGAAATTTATTATTATTATTATAATATTTTCAATTTCTATTTTAATATTGTAATTTACAATGCTATGTCAATATAAATCATTTATTCATATTAATTATTATCAAATCTAACATAAATTAATTAGAATCTATAATTTACTTAAAAAATTATCACGTCTCGGCTTTTAAGATAATTTTATGTTTCATTTCATTTGTTAACTTTTTTAATTCATTGTTTAAATTTATGTTGATTTGTAGTTTGATTTTTCAACTGCATAATTAAAGTCCTAAAATCCTAGAGTCTAGGTGTATGTTCAACCCAAACAACTCATTGACAATTTCCTTTCACAGAATATGTGGGCTACAAAACCTAGAGCGTAAATTCGAAAGGCATTGAAACAATTCAATCTTAGACTTTTGATTCTTCTCTCAAAATTTACAACCATTTACGATTTCATCTTGAGGTTAAAAAGTCTCGCACAAAATGTTGTTTGTTGTTATCTTTCAAAATTATTTAGAAAAGGTTGAATTTAATAACAAAAAACTCTTTAATAGTATTCATGTTATGTACTTTGAAAAATTACATACAACATGTAACGCAATATTTTTTTTTTTTTGTGATTTATTTAATTAAAAGGATCAGTGCTTTTGAGATTAATTGTATTTTAGAAATCTATTGTAGACTATTGTTGATTTTTTTCTCTTAAAATATTGATGATAATTTTATTTATTTTTAAATTTATCTAACAATCTTAAAATCGTTCCGACGGTGCATATTTTATTTTGACTATTGGTTATGTTCAAGATTGTTTACTTCAATAACTTTTACTCAGTTGCTCTACATGCTTTGTCAGGAATGCTTTTTGCCTCGCCATAGATTCACTGTACTTTCTTGCATATATACATATTGATATATGTCCATGCACCATGAAAAATTTTAGTACCATGTGTTTCTTATTTGCCACGTGCCATTGTATCCATTTAATTCTGACCGAGAAAACAAGCGCTTCACAATTACTCATTTTCTTTGTGCTTGATTTTGCTTATAGAGTTATTCAGTCTTTAATCCATCTTTTGAAAAGCTAAAGCCATTTGAAATAATTGCAGTCAAAGACTTCTACTTATCCCAAAAAATACTGAACGAGGTAGGTATGGCCATTCTGAGGTAAAGACCTCGCACTACTCTGTAAAATATACATAATAAACTTCTTTTTTTCTAAAAAAACTTGGTTAATAATTGTTTGTTATAAAATTGTGTATACTATCAAAATGAAAGTTATTGATTGTTTGCCATAACTTTTACTTTCGATTTTTTACAATAATAGCAAAGACAATTGTTATGAGAGGAATGTTTATTTTGGGGTTGTTTAGTATTATTGTGAGTTTTATATTTTATGTTTTTGAAATTTTTGTTTTATTTTTAATTTATTGAATTTGAAAATATATTTGGATAAAATGTTTTTTTTAGATATGTGAAAATAAAAACATGTAAGAGAAAGTGATTAAAGTTTTTAGACTCCATTTGTTATCAATAATATAATAATATTTATTAATATATTAATATAAAATAATATTATATTATTTATTAATATATTATTTTAATATATTATAATAGTAATTATTAATATATTATTTATAATTAATATATTATATTAATTTTATATTAATAAATAATATATTATTAATATCATATATTACATTTATAATATAATACATTTTTATTTATTAATATAATATTATTTAAAAAATAATATAGTATTTATTAATAATATATTACTTATTAATAAATTATTTATTAATTTATTATTATTATGATAAATTATATTAATAATATATTACATTAATAAATAATATATTATATTATAATTATTAATATAATATTTATATAATAAAAATATTATTTTATTAATATAATAATCGTAATATCACTATAGCGATTTAATTATAATTTTCGTGAACAGTACCTTGTGGTAACAGTTCCAAATTATTTCCAAAAAACTAAAAATACATTGTTTTCAATAATTTTTAATTTTTGTTTTCAGTTTTCAAAAACAAAAAATAAAAACAACGTACCAAACATGATTTTTTTTTTTCAATTTGCAAAAAAACTAAAAACAAAAACAAAAACAAACGGCCTTTTAGTGCCCTTAGTGCCGAGCTTTAATCTTAGGGTATTTCTAGAAAAACAAAAAAGAAGGATAGTTAAAGGTAAAGGTAGGGAGTGTTCCTTACTTTTACACTCTGATGCACAAGTCATAATAGGTGAGGTCAGAATGAGAGTAGTACAGAGAATTAGCAGTAGAATGAACTAGTCTGAATGAACTAGTTTTAATGATACTTGGGCCTTTGTATTTATAGATAAATGATAGAGAACCATTAGGGGATAATGATGATAGTACCAAGCTGATATGGCATTGAGTATGTCAGACCAATCTAACATGTCAAGTTGGCACAAATATCGAAATTATCCTTGGTTAGCTACTGAAGGCTTCTAACATAAAAAAAGATCATTATACATTTTTTACCACTAAATGCTTCCAACATTCTATCCCCTATCAAGTAGTCTGAGTATCAGACTATTGGGTATATAATTGATGCACCCGTGTGCGAGGCAATTAGCCTTGAGTCATGGTCCAACCTTGTGAAGGTTTAATCTTACACGTATGTCTTGGGTTAAGTGCATAGCCAGCTTAAAAGTCGCTGAAGTATTAATTATTCGGTATGATCTGATATTAGTGTTATAATTCATTTGGTCGAGATAGGACTTGTGTTTATTTCAAGAGTTTGGATTCGAGTTTCTATTTTGAACTCTGATGACAAGCTCTAACGATGAACTAGGCATTTGGTCTGTGGTAGAGAGTCACCCAATCTGGCTAGTTTAACTTATGGTTTGTCTGATTTGGTTGGTATACCTAGGGTTTGGTCGATCTGGTGGCATTAAATAAGAGAGGTAATTTGAGAGGGACAATTTAAATAGGGAAGATGAAAAAATGTCTTCCCATATTCACTTTGACATGTAACGTGATTTGTGCTGTTCATCTAATTTGTGGTGTGGCTATATAAAAGGCTATTGAGGTTTTCATTTTTCACTTTTTGGCTTTTTTTACATTTAGTTTGATCTAAATTTTTTTATATTAAAGCTTTTTGGCTTTAAAGTTGTTTTTTTTACTACCTATTTTTTTTCTATTTTCTTGGTACATGCTTTCAATTAAGCTTTTTAGTTTAAGTTCTGGTGTGGTTGGGAGTTTCAAGGTATAACCTAAGGGAAGTCAACTCAAGCAAGACAACAATGACTTGATTTCACCACTCATTAAAGGTCGTGATTGTCAAAATATGGCCTTTTAGTTTAACCCATGTATAGAAAAGGGTAACAGCAAAATAAGGATAATGCTCGGGTAAGAGAAAGGTTATGAGCACAAAGAAATTATATGCTCAGATAGGTTTTAACCTACAGAATTCACCTTCTTTTCTTATATTTTAGGTCGATCCATCTTTTATAGCTAACCTTCTTTCATTTTTTATTGTTCTTCATTTTGGGATTCGGTCTCATTAATTTTTTTTTACTTTTATTTTTCCATTGATTGATGCTTCCGTTGTCATTTTTATTCCACCTTGATCAATTTTTGTTGAGATTACTTCTTTTCTTAAAGAGTCTCCACCTTGTCCTTTTTCACCTTATGTTGTATTGCTTTTAGCCATGGTTCAACTTTAAAATCTTATCCACCTTGTCCTTCTTCACCCTATGTCATATTACTTTTAGCCATGGTTCAACTTCAAAATCTTCTCCACCTTGTCCTTCTTCACCCTATGTCGTATTGCTTTTAGCCTTGGTTCAACTTCAAAATCTTACTTCTGCTTAGAAGTTAGAGTCTTATGGCGATAAAAATTTTGATGATGAGGAGGGTTCTAAGGAGAAACAAAAAGAATGAAGCACCATAACCATGAAAAATGACAATGAGGAGAGAATAGAATAAATTGGCTGAGGTTCTTGTATATATTCGTGATCTCGATATAATCCTTACGGGTGTCATGAGAGAACTAAAAAAGTAAGACTAATCCTAAAGACTATCTTCATATGTGTTTAGCTCATCATGTCCATACTTTAAAGATGACTTTCTTTTTTCCAGAAGAGGATTATAGCATATTATGCCAAACTTTTCATATCAAGTCATTGATAGACTATAGCCACATTGGCTATATGTATATTGGGATTCATTCGTGACTGGTATAATGTTTTCATTTCATTTTTTGTTTGTTTTAACTTTTAATTCTTATAATTTGACTATCACTTAGCTCGCTCCTAATTCTATACAATACATAGTAGGTTTTATCATTCTTTCTCAACATCTGAACATTATTCCCATTCTTCTTCTATTCAAAATTTTTTTTTCTAAATTAAAAAGTACCCAGTGATAAGAGGTGGTATTATGTAACAGCTTGATCCAATAAAAAATTG